CAAGATCCTCTTATTTGTTTTCAAATCTCTAAATGACCTTGCGCCACCTTACCTCTCTGAGCTCATCCGCCCCTACACACCTGCCCGGCGCCTCAGGTCTGCGGACCAGACATTATTAGAAGTACCAAGAACTAAACTGAGGCTCAGAGGGGATCGAGCCTTTTCTGTTGCTGGTCCCTCTCTCTGGAATGACCTCCTCCCACTGAACATTCGGCAAGCCTCCTCGCTGCCCATCTTTAAAACCCGCCTCAAAACTCACTTGTATTCTTTGGCATTTGACTCAGCATGACTTAGATTTGTTCTTGGTTTTGCTGTTCGGTGCTTTCTACCATATTTATTACCGAATTTGCTTTACTGTTTGTTGTGTATGTTAAATTGCTCCATGTACAGCACTTTGTATGCAGCGATGGCTGTTTGAAAGTGCTCTATAAATACGGTTGAGTTGAGTTGAGTTGAGTTAATCATTTGGGCTGTGGTCTTTTCAGATGTTCCAGAAGTTTATTATAGGGCAGAGGTACAATGGACTTGGCAAAGTGTCTTTTCATTTAAGGGGCAAACCAATATTAAAATTCAGACAGTCATGAGGTGAAACACTCATGCGTGTTTGGCCTCAGCAAATCTTGTCAAAACACTGAGCAGCTGAAGAACGGGTCTTGCCTTTGCTATTGGTTAGCTGACAGTGTCAGCCTGGAATCAATTCACTCACTTGCTGTCCTATCTCATGACGTTTTTGTTCAACCAGCATCAAATAACTGGTCTAGTTAAACTTGGGTGATTCCATCCATATGTAGTACAGGTATATTGTTGGCCACATAGCATTCGGTAATTGCCAAAGTCATATTTCAATGTTTTTGGAAAACAAGAAAAAGCACAATTACTAGAAAACACGTTGATATTTTTTCACTGTTATTGGAACAAAACACTCAACCAGATGTGTGAACAATGAGCAAAAGGACAAAGACCACATAGGCACCGGGAGAACATGCAAACTCCACACAGGGAGGACAATTCCGGATACAAACCCACGATCTCTGCGCTGTGTGGCGGCCGTGCTAACTAGTTAACCACTCTGCCATCCTTCTCCAAAACGTCCATCCATCCATCCACGCGTTTTCTGATCCGCTTATTCTACAAGGGTCGCCGAGCGTGCTGGAGTCTACCCCAGTTGTCTTCAGGCAGGAATCGGGGTACACATAGGCGAACAACTATCCACACTCACACTCGCACCGAGGGACAATTTAGAGTCTTCCATTAACCTGACACGCATGTTTTTAGAATGCGGGAGGAAACCGGAGTACCCAGAGGAAACCCACATGGGAGAAGATGCAAACTTCACACAGGAAGGCTGAACCCTGCACCTCTGCACTGTGAGGCCAGCGCGCTAACCAGTCGACCACTGGGTCGCCTTCTCCAAAACAAATAAATAACATTCTAAATGCAGCCTAACATAACAATTTGGCCCAAAATGACTTTGGCAATTAGCAATGTAGCAAACAATATGTATAAAAAACATATATATATATATATATATATATATATTCCGCACTAAAAGACACACTGTATTATGAATGGCTATTTTGTAATTTTTTTTCATACATTGGACGCTTAACATTATAAGGCGCAATTTACAATGCTTCCACGAGATGGTGCTACGCTCCTTCCATTCAACTCGCGAGGCGTCTGTTCAATTTGAGAGGTGTTCATGACCACCTCTTCTGAAAAACGTAAATTAACCATTACTGTACTTAAATGAAACTACGAAAATTGAAAATAATGCATCGAAACAGAAAATCAAGCGAGGAAATCACAAAATAAATTCTATATCCCCCCTACAGAATTCATTTTGTGATTTCCTCGCTTGATTTTCTTCGTGGTTTTATTGAAGTAATAATTAATTTACGTTTTTCAGAGGCGGCCATGAACGCCTCTCGAGTGGAACAGAAGAAGGCCTGGAGACGGACAAAGATGTACAGTACCTGTATTTGTTGATACTGTGAAAACCATTAGTAAAGTCTGCGTTTTAAAAAACAAATAAAACCACAGCGCTCCTTTTTTCAACAAATACAGGTGAGTCTTTGTCCGTCTCCATGCCTTCTCTTATTCCGTTCAACTCGAGAGGCGTTCATGACCGCCTCCGAAAAAGTCAATGACATTTCCTTGATCATAGCGCCACTACTACGACGATCAGATGTCAGTAGTAGTTATATATTTCTTTGTTGTGTATTCACAAATGATGAAATCACAATATAAATTCTGTAGGGGTGGCTATAGAATTTATTTTGTGATATCCTCGCTAGCTTTTCAGTTTTGATGTATTATTTTCAATTTTCGTAGTTTCATTCAAGTACAGTAATCATAAGTTTACGTTTTTTCGGAGGCGGTCTTAAACGCTTCTCGAGTCGAACGGAAGAAGGCACGTAGACAGACAAAGACGTACCTGTATTTGTTGAGACTGTTTTAAAAAATTAACACCACAGCTCTCCTTTTTTCGGAGCTGCAACAAAAACTTATTTAATAAAGCAGCAACACAGTTCACTGAACCAATAGCAAGTTATAACATTGGAAGCATGTCTCCAGGAAAGAGAAATCTTGGAGTCGATGTATTATCGTAATGACCATACAAAAGACGCACTGGATTTTCAGGCGCTTGGTGAGCTTTAAGAAAATTGATGACTTTTTGGTGCGCCCTATAGTGCGGAAAATACGGTGTATACTGTGTGTGTGTGTGTGTATATATATATATATATATATAGAGAGAGAGAGAGAGAGAGAGAGAGAGAGAGAGAGAGAGAGAGAGAGAGACAAAGCTTCATGTGTGGAAACTGGCTTTTCTAAACAAATCCCTGCTATAGTAAAAGCACAAAGGTAAACATTTGAATAATGTCTCAGTAATACATTGCAATGGTCTACTGTGGACTGGATGAAAAACCATGTGATTCTTGTTTCCATCTATCACATATACAAATGTTCACTAAGAAACTACACTGCAGTGCATTCTTTGACAGTCACACAACACATTACACACATAAGGTATTTCATTGTTTTAACATACTTTCCTTATTTACAGACATTTGCAAAGAAGTTGATGGGGGATTTTTCATTAGCAGTGCCAGTATTTGTGGCCATGTCGTGCTACGGCTCCATGAACGGTTCCGTCTTGGCCCTGTCAAGGTACAGTTTATTTTTTTTTTTTTATTTGGAGAGCATTTTTGCTTTCTGCGTGGTATGCAATTTATTGCTATAAAACATTTACAAACCTCTGTAAAATGCCACTTCTGTGATGTACAATTATCTTTGTTGAAAAAAACTAAGTGGACAGCCAAACTTCTTTCAGTTTCAGTTGTGTCATAGGAATGAGGTTATGTTCCAGGCCTCTTTATATCTTGAACGTAACTTGTAAGTTAGAGGTTAAATAACTGCAATTTTCTAACACCCTTTAATTCAGCTATTGGTGAGTACCACACATATCCAGAAGGAATATTCACATCATTTGTCACATTTACCCCTCTTCACTTTACTTAATTACAGCACCAGCTCGTGTATGTTTCCATATTTTCTTCGAGGTTCGAGCCAAACTTTTCACAGTTACATCATCGTCGATAAATGGCGTCTAGCAGTGCCAATATTCTCAGCGAAATAAACCATCCATCTATCCATCCATTTTCTACCGTTTATCTGGAGTCGGGTCGCAGGGGCAATAGCTTTAGCGGGGAAGTGCAGACTTCCCTCTCTACATCTACTTGTTTCAGCTCCTCCCAGGGGATCCCGAGATATTCCCTGGCCACCTGGGAAACATAGTCTCTCCAGCGTGTTCTCGTTCGTCCCCAGGGCCTCCCACTGGTGGGACATGCCTGGAACACCTCACCAGGAAGGCGTCCAGGAAGCATCCTTATCAGATGCCCGAGCCAGCTCATCTGGCTCACCTCAACGTGGAGGAGAAGCGGCTCAACTCTGAGCCCTTCCTGGATGATCGAGCTTCTCACCTTATCTCTAAGGGAGTGCCTGGACACCCTGTGGAGAAAACACATTTCAGCCGCTTGCATCCGAGATCTCGTTCTTTTGGTCACAACCCATAGCTTGTGACATAGGTGACATACTACGTAGATTGTCTGGTAAATGGAGAGCTTTGCCTTTTGGCTCAGCTCCTTCTTCATCACGACAGACCGATACAAAGTCCGCGTCACAGCACCGATCTGCCTGTCAATCTCCTGTTCCCTTCTGCTCTCATGCCCTCCTCCCAAATGATCCTAGGAGCTAAACTGCTTGGGGTTTCATGCCCATGGCAGGGTCACCCATGGTAAACAGGTCTGAGCTGAGGGACCAGACAAATTACTATTCCCAGTCTCTCTTTGATGAAACACAAATGGATATAGTTTTCTCTTGAGAGGATGCAGGCTACCGGTGTCAGGTCCCGGATTTCCCCGGAGTTAATTGGATCCCACGTACACACAGACAAGGATAATAATTCAACAAATGTTATATTATAGAAAACCGCAAGACAAAGAACAGCAAAGGTGATAAAGAGCCAATATAAAATGACATGAACATAAAGCACTTTCACCTGGCAAGGAGAAGATGGAAAATCGCTTGTCACAATACGTCAAGGAAATCCAATTAGTGAAATGAAACGAATGAGATTAACATGGTAAATGGCAAGTGGGCTGTCACTTGTAGAATGATGTTCGACTTTTGGTACCCAAAGCGCCTCACACTGTTACTTCATTCACCGACTGATGACACAGAGAATCAGGAGCAACTGTGGTCCAGTATCTTGCTCAAGAACACTTTGACATGGTCACAATGGCCTTGGATTGAACCACCACCCGAAGGAGCTCAACAGGTACAGACCGGTGGCGCTGACGTCTTACCTGATGAAGACGCTGGAGAGACTCATCCTCGCCTACCTGCGACCACTGGTGAGCTCATCACTGGACCCGCTTTTGTTTGCCTACCAGCCCGGCATCGGTGTGGAGGACGCCATCACTACCTCCTCCACTCGGTGCTGTTACACCTGGAGAATGATGGGAGCACTGTGAGGATCATGTTCTTTGATTTCTCCAGTACCTTCAACACCATCCAGCCCAACCTACTGGGGGACAAGCTGGGGCACGCTGGAGTGGACCACCACCTCACATCATGGATAACAGATTACCTCACAAACCGGCCGCAGTATGTGAGGGCACAGAACTGTGAGTCGGACAGGCTTCTCTGCAGCACTGGGGCCTCCTGGCTCCATTCCTGTTCACCCTCTACACCTCGGACTTCAGATATATCACTCCAACCTGCCACCTTCACAAGTTCTCTGACGACTCTGCGATTGTCGGCCTCATTACAGAGGGATTGATGGGGAGTGCAAGAGACTGACGAAGGACTTCGTGGACTGGACCCAGCAGAATCACCTCCAGATCAACCCCAGGAAAACTAAGGAGTTGGTTGTGGATTTCTGCAGGAAACAGTCCTCACCTGCACTGATGAACATCCAGGGTATGGACATAGAGAGGGTGACCTCCTACAAGTACCTAGGTGTTCTTCTCAACAATAAACTTGACTGGTCTACCATCACGGACGCACTGATCATGAAGGGACAGAGCCGCCTCTTCCTACTCAGGAAACTGAGGTATTTTGGAGTTCAGGGGTCACTCCTTAAGACCTCCGATGACTCTGTGGTGGCTTCGGCCATCCGTTATGGCATTGTCTGCTGGTCAGGCAGCGTCTCAGCCCGGGACAGAGAGAGACTGGCGCGACTGGTCAGGAGGGCCAGTTCTGTCCTGGGCTGCTCCCTGGATACTCTGAAGGAGGTGGGCAACAGGAGGATGCTAGCTAAACTAAAAGCTATGATGGACAGTCCCTCCCACCCACTCCAGTCCACCCTGACAGTACTGGGTAGCTCCTTCAGCCAGAGACTGTTACACCCGCGCTGCAAGAAGGAGAGATACCGCCGCTCGTTCCTACCGACTGCTGTCAGGCTGCTGAATAAACACACGTGAAAATCTGGACTTACCCCATCCATACATTGTAAATAGCACAGTCACCTTATGCAGAATATATGCACTTGCATATATGCTTATATCTATATTTTATATTTTATATTGCATTCTGTACTGTGTACAGTTCTTTTTTCTGAAACATTTATTTTATGCATGCAATACTACCCCCCACCCCACACCTTCAATTCTGCTGCTGTAGATTGCAAATTTCCCCAGTGTGGGACAAATAAAGGTCTTCTTACCTTATCTTATCTTATCTTATCATGAAGCTCTGAGTTGGGAAACGACCACTCTGTTAGGGAGGGGCCAGCCAGGCAGCCTCCTCAGCCAGGGTGCTCTGCACCTCACACCTGAGACTCGTCAGCTCATCACCCACCTGTTGCCTATCTGCTTGTTTGGACTGGTACATATTGACTCACAGACCATTCCTCAGTGCAAGTTCGTGCCGTCACCACGCCAGTGGACTCTTTTGCCATCTCCTACAGCTTCTTGTTCCTTGTGTGGACATTTCCTTGTGGACTCCTCGTGCTTCCCCCTGAGTGACTTTGCGAAGACTCTTCAAATAAACTACGCCAAGTGTTGGCTTCAACGATACCTGCCTGTTGTCGTGCTATTGGGGTCACATCCAAACCCTAACACACTCTTTCACAAAGCTATGCTGCCCCTTAACAATATCACATAAATACTTATTTCACGAGAAAACTCAGTACCTGAATGAAAATATGGTATGAGAGTTGTGAGCAAGACTGAAAAATCCGACAGCGAGTAGTCAGAGTTGCAGTCCTTCAAAAGCCAGACAATTATATAGCATGGCAGATGCAGTCCTCCGATTCCGCCGGAAACTGGAACACAAAACAAACATAAACATGACAACGGGGGCCCCTCTGGTGTGCGCTCCCATTGGGGATTTCAATGTATCCTGGGGGGATTCAATGCTCATGGGAGCAATGAGAGTGAGACCTGTAAGGACATGATTGGGAAAAACGACCCCCTACCCCCGCCATTCAGAACCAGTGTGGTGTTCTGTGATTGGAATTCTGTGCTCATCACGGATTATCCATAATAAACACCATGTTCAAGCATAAGGTGTCCATTTGTCAGTGTTGTGTCCAAGGACCGGCAACCCGAGGCCAAGGCCAAGGCCAAGGACTTGACTCCGAGGCCAAGGCCAAGGACTTGGAAAATTTTCCGAGGCAAGGCTAAGGCCAAGGACTTGAGAAATTTTCCGAGGCCAAGGCCAAGGACCAAGGACTTGCCTCCGAGGCCAAGGCCAAGGACCAAGGACTGATTTTGAAGCTGAGGCCTAGCCGAGGACATGTATAAAACAATGCTATCATACCACTTGGCAGGTCTTCTTGATTTGCAACACCCCTCCATCATAACCCCTTGCACTCCCTAACGCTCGAATGAAGTGTTTTTATTCAAAGAGTAGAACAGTCAGGGTATGTGTTATTTATACTGAGAAAAACAAAAATAAAAGCACATGATATACATTGATGAATTAATGTTTTAGTGCAGTAGTTTCTTAATATGAAGCAAATCAACACTTAACAGGGAAGTCAATCACTGAGTGCAGAAAAAGAGGTAATCTCTGCAGTGATAATTTTACAGTTTACCGGCCGTGAGTCCCAGGGACTCACTGATCAGAAAAGTATGAGTCCCATTATGCATTGAGAGAGTCCCAAATTTCGAATTCTGAAACGGTCTACTTATTCAATTGCATATGATAATAACACAAACAACAACATATACATACAAT